TAATTTTAGTGGGAGAGGACAAAACACAGAAGTCTTCTGGACTCTTTAGAAATACGAGGAGTGTTCTATTTATTCTTGGGATAGGCATGAAGGGAAGGCAGAACTTCTGAATAATATTTATATCAGAATTCAGTTTCCTATAACCTCAACGCACTTGTTTGCTCGGGAAACTGACGTTCCTAACACCACTCTGAAAATATTTTTCCTCCTTGTCCCCAAAATGTGCGTTAAAGGCAAAGTCCGCGATCATTCGCCATCACAGATAGTGGATTAGGAGTTCGCATATAGACGACAAGGTGCTGAGTAACTCGATAGTGAAGAAAAAAAGCAGAAAAAACATGCCACTGCCCTAGATAGAACCCCATTCCGATCCCAGTTTGTACGTGCCCAATTAACTCCATCTCCAACACTACGCCCTCATCCGCACAGCTGATTCCCCGATAAGAACTCTACGACCGTACAAGTGACGATTTTCATGCTTTTTCGTCCTAGCTTCGTTTTTCACTGAAAGGCGGAGTCTGGAGGCGGAGTCACTGGAGAAAGGAGGCGTCACTGAACCTATATTGCGCTATAGCGCCCCTCCCTTACAATTTTTTGCCGCGAAACCGGTACAAGGTTGTTCGTCGCGGACCACACTACCCTCCCGACGCCATATTTTCAACTTCTATACCTGATCGTAGACCGTGCCTTTAATTGAATGTCTGGTGGAACGAATAGGGAAATCCGTTTGAAAAGCGGGTTGAATTTGCCCTGAAAAAAAGTGAGTTTGGTTTGAAGTGTGGAATTCAAGATGAACACATTCACTGTACTCTCCTTCAGCATAGTCTGAAGACTCACCCTGGTTGGTAAAAGTGCGTTTGTCGATGTAGACCACGAGTTACAGTTACATTCACTGAGTTCTTGAATTAGATTGATAGTGCTTCTACTGCTGTGCATAAGTAAGCGCTCGATCTCCTTCACCTTTTACCACTGTTTACCAACGTCGTTACTTTTTTTGCGCGGATTCGATTCGTTTTTTAAGTTGTGTACAGTTATGTGAACAACATTTCCAGGAAGCTGCCATGCGTGACTGGTCATCTTCGTCGTATTTGAGCAGACATGTGCAGGTGGGAAGATTGTTTTGTTTTCTGCCAACTTAGAAATCTTCCAGTTTACATCAAAGCCAGTTTTTTTTACATTCGCTAATTGTTGGAATCTGCTTTCCATAGATGTGACGACCCATCTAGGTAGCCTTTTCTCGAGTTGACACGTTTTAGGATGGTGGCTAGACGATCTTGCACCAGCTTCACAAGGGTTCACAAGTTTTACCAGGGTGAGATTTGTAAACCGGAGGAATCAAACA